AAGTCAAATGATGTATTACACTGGGAAAGTATGCTTCAGAACACCCATTTAAAGTGCTAAAAGCAAAGATGTCACTTTGAGGACAAAGGTGCCCCTAATCCGAGCCAGCTGCTAGGCAGTGAATGAGAACGGCACAGAAAGAACGTCGGCATTTGAATTGCGGCGTTGGTGAGGAATACTGAGTGGTACATGGGCTGCCAGAAAAAATAGCCAGGTCTGCCTTGGTGGACGTACAGCCAGGGTGCTTGTTAGAAGTGAACATTTCATTTCCATAATGTTGGAGAATTGATTAGGAGGGACTACTCCTTGGCGTAGGACATCATGCTTGATGACAAAGTAAAGGGTCAGTGCTAATGTGGGCAGCCCTCAGTGAGGCGGCACACTGGCCTCAGGCATAGCAGTGACTGAGGATGACGCAGGATTGGCTGTGTTTTGCGGTGTGGTAAATAGGGTCACAGTGAGTGGATCTGGACCCAACATACCTATCAACAGCAATAAGTAAATATCTCCTTTTAGTGTGACTACATTAGACTCAACAAGAAGATAATTAGAACTAATTGAAAGATTCAGTAAAGTGGCCAAGGTCAACATACAAAAATTAGTCGCATTCCTTTACATTAACAGAGAGAACTCTGAAAAAGAAGTTAGAAAACAATACCTACTCACTGTACAATAGCTACTCATGATGGGATACTTGGGAAGACTTGGTTCTGGCTATAGAGCCAAAAGGTATATGGAAAGAAAACTACAAACCACCGCTGCCAGAAGCCACGGGAGAGCTACATAAAGAGAGGAATATGCTGTGCCCTCATGGATAGGAAGACTCACCATTGTCTTAACATGTCAAACACTGGAATGCTACTGAGAGGATCTACAGATACAAAGCAATCTCAATCCAGATTCCAACCTCATTCTTTAAAGCTTTGAAGAATCCAATCACCAGCTTTCTATGGAAAGGAGTCACCCTGGCTAAGCAAAGCACTGCTAAGAAAACTAAGTAGAAAGTCGATAGTTGATACTTCCGCTTCTCAAAACTGAAGTACACAGCCACAGTAGTCAAAACAACCTGGCACTGGCACAACAGCCGACTCAGGGAAATGGGGTAGAATTGAGATCCCCAGAGTAAATGCGTCCACCTATGGATAGCTTTGACAAAAAAACCTAAGCTCATCAAATGGAAAAGAGATTTTCTCTTTAACAATTAATGCTGACAAAATTGTGTATCCATTTTCAGAAGAATGAAACAGGACCTATTATCTCACACCATAGACAAAAATGAACTCCAGTTGGATCCAAGACCTAAATGTAAAACCTAAAACTATAAAGGTTACCAATTTTAAAATATGGATAAATGTAGAGTCCCCACAACGTGGCATAAAAAAGGCTGTGCTAATTACCCATTAAATGAGATAAATTGAAACAGCAATGATTTATCACCTCACTCCAACATAAATAGCAAAGCAAAAAGCAAACAAAAAAAGAAAAACAGTAAAAAGCCAAAGCTAGCTTTTTAAAAATAGCGTGGAGACACTGGAGCCCTCATCTACTGCTTGTGGGCTGTAAAGTGGTACAACCACTGGGAACACAGTGTGGTGCTTCCTTAAAAAGTTGGAAATTGCAATAACATACTAATTGCAATAGCATCCTTCTACATGATATGCACCCTTAAGTTATAAGAGCTAATAGATTTGTGTACACCCATGTCCATCACAGCACGAGTCACATTAGCACAAAGATGGAAATAATCTAAATTACCATCAGTGAAAGAATGGTTAAAGAAGCTGACGGACAGTGTTAAAGACTGAGGATGAATCTGTCAGACAGCCTATAACATAGACAAACCTGGGGGATACTACGCTGAGTGAACTGAGTCAATCACAAAGGGACAAATACTGTGTGAGACTATTGTTGTACAAAGTCAAGAAAAAGTTTTCACACAAAAATAAATATTCTTTGGTTGTTACCAGGGATGAAAGGCAAAGGAGGAAGTTTATCACTGGCCAGATGGTAGCATGGGTTAACTTAGGTGAAGGGGAAAGTGATACACAATGAGAAGGAGGTCACAAATTGATGAAGGGCTGGGGCAGGCACTGAGAGGAGCAACAGGGATAATGATGTTATAGACACAAGCCGACAACCACAGTCATTGATGAGTAGACACATGGGCAGACATGTAGGCTGAATAGGGAGAGAGTGGTAGTATACTTATGAATATATATGGGTTTGACAGAGGATATTGGAACATAAGCATGGACATTTACCTTTCCTGCAAATATATCCATGAATGTATTGAGGCATAGAAAGGGGAAAGTTATGAAAACTTCTTAGATGTAACTAAATCCGTTGATGGACTTGGGTCTCTGGATCATGGTCTCCAGGCACACCAAGGTCAATTGGCTTAACTTAATCCACAAAGACATTATTCTACATCCTACTTTGGTCAGTAGCAACTGGGTTCTTAACTCATGAGTGGTCATCTATGGTACAACTATGCGTCTCTCCAGGACCCCAAGACCAGTGAAACTAGACGGTGCCCTGCTATCACTACCAATTTCTCCAAAAGGGATCATATTAGAAACTCTTGGATGGAGTGGGTTAAAAAGTTTCCAGAAGCAAAGAAAACATCAGTGAAACAAAGAGAGATAGATAACCTAAGACCTGCCCTGGAATGAGAAAGAAATGCTTCATAGATGCAGATCACTGCAGGCCTGCACGTGCTTAATATTTGCTCTGCGCTCAACAATGGACAGCACCTAAGTAAAGCCTGCATTATGTTATTAACTTCAGAAGTGTGTAAGGAGTTGACAATTACAGTAGTTTGTGAGCCTTAAGGGTTTGCCACTTAAGCAGAATTAAAAAGAGAAAATAGCTTAAGAAGTTACTGATAATTGTTGAAAATTCTCTTGACTCCAAATCCTGAATTATTCTGAAACCCCATTTAGGAATCATTTCATCCGTGAGAACTTGACGACTCTGCTGCTTCCTAAGTAGGTGGTCGTTGTTTAAATGCCATCAATGTTTCCAAAGCCACCCCGTGTATAACAGACCGAAACATTCCTGGGTTCTGTGCCGTCTTCTCAATCATTGCTCCATGTGGGAAACTGAGGACCTGGAAAGAATGTATGCTGCCAAATTCTTTGTGCTCATAATAGAAGTTTGGAAGGCCAACTCTGGTAGAGGAAGACCTTCATGTTTGTGAGGTAGAGATGTCTCCCAGTCACATTCTCTAAAAATCATCCCCACAATGTCCCCCTACCCCATAATAGTGCTACTTTGTTATGATTATTATTTTTAATAGCGCTACTTTAAAGATGCCTCTTACAAGCATATGGCTGCTCTCTCTGCAGCCGAAGGCTACCTATCTCTAAAAACAAACAAGTTCTATTGTTCTCCCAGCTCATAGGGCGGTAGACTCCCCTCTGCCTGCCTCTGCTCCTGGTCTTGGGTTACTCCCCCAATGAGCTAAGGGACCTCTAAGGTTAAGATACTGCCCAACTTGCTATGGATGTGATTGATGGGACCTGCTTATCCCAAGACTATATAAACCCTTTGGAAAATATATTCGCTCTTTCTCCTGATCCTGACATGGGGAAGGGTGAGCTCTGGACCCACTGTCTGTTGTTCTTTTCTTCCCCAGTTGCGCATCTGCCCTTCAGGACCCCTTCAGTCTCACAGCTATGTTAGAAACCATTGTTGAAGCCATGGCTTCAACCCATCTCATTGATGCCACCCTCTTCTCTGACTCCCTATTTACCAAGCATAATATCCTTCTCGAAGGACTGAGCCCTCCTGATAATGTGTCCAAAATACAAGAGACAAAGTCTCACTAGCCAAGTTGCTTAGGAGCATTCTTCTTTTTTTTAAAAATCATGTTATTAGGGGCTCATACAACTCTTATCCCAACCCATCCATCCATCCATTGTGTCAAGCACATTTGTACATTTGTTGCCATCATTCTCAAAACATTTGCTTTTTTAAAAAATCATTTATTTAGGGGTTCATACAACTCATCACAATCCATACGTACATCAGTTGTGTAAAGCACATTTGTACATTCATTGCCCTCATCATTCTCAAAACATTTGCTTTCCACTTAAGCCCCTGGCATCAGCTCCTCATTTTTTCTCTTCCCTCCCAACTACCCCCTCCCTCATGAACCCTTGATAATTTGTAAATTATTATTTTGTCATATCTTGCCCTGTCCGACATAGGAGCATTCTAACTGTACTTATTCCAAGACAGATTTGTTTGTTCCTCTGGTGGTCCGTGGCAGATTCGCCATAATTCAAATGCATCATGATTCTTATCATCTATGGCTTAGTCACTTACACAATTCTAGGACGCATCTAGTTTATTTCTAGTTTTATTCCAACTCTGAAAAGTTAGTGATTAATTGGCTGAGTAACATCAGTGTTTAGTAAAAACACGGTAGTTCTAAATTTCTGTTGGAATTATGAATTCATGATATTTTTCTTCAAAAATGCATATTTCTAAGGTCTGGTCACTGAAGAATGGAAATGTAATCAACAAAATTCACAATGTAGAAAACTCTTTGGTATCAATTCTCCAGCAAACAAATTGCCAGAAGAAAACCCTATAGATTTAGTGTGCACTTTTATTTTGATTATAATTCTAGCAAACATTTTTAATGGGATAATACAAAGAGGAATTTATATGTTAAAATGATTATTAATATTTAAATATCTCTAATTGAAAGTTTTATAATGTATAGGATTTGCTTTGTAATAATCTAATATTGGGAGCTAGTGAATTGTTATTGATGAAATACACTGACCATGAATTGAACATTAATGCAGCTGCGTATTGGAGGTTTATTGTACTGGTCTTTGTTATATGTACACACACTTGTATTTAAAACATTTCATAAGAAAATGCTAAACATGGGTACTTGGAAAGACTTTGTGTTATTTTTGGGGTTATCTGCTAAAATAATTTATCATATTGCTGCATTTTAAAACATTTCTTTTTCTTTTAAACAGGGTGCATACGGTCCCTATTCCCCTGATGAGTGCATATCGTTGCCCATCTACACTAGTGCCGACAGGGATCGTGTGGTCACCAACATTGATGTTCCATGCGGGGGCAACCAAGACCAGTGGATTCAGTGTGGAGCAGCTCTGTTTCTGAAAAATCAGTAAAACCTAATGACAGCAAAACCTGCCTCATCGAAAAGAAACTATCACTTCAGCTTTAAATAATATATGCTTTAAATATGCTCAGTCTGCAGTTGAAATATAAATTCCAAATATTGGCGCAGCATCCCTCCGTGTTGCGTGCTTCATTGGGCTTTCATTAGAATGGGTGATGGCAGCACAACGCACCTTTCAAGGTAGCCGTGGAGTTCTTAGGAAGATGGGATATTTCGATAACTATTTCTGTGAGTTGGTTCACTTTTGAAAAAAGTTCATGTTTTAGGTAAGCAATTTAAAACATTGTATTTGAGGAATAGAGTATTTAGGACCTCATTTTCTCATAATTATTTAATGAAATAAAAATTGTTAATACATTTTTGTCTTCTATGATTTCAAGTCAATGTATAGGCATTCCATTTTTAAAGATAAAAATTTGTATTAGATGTAATTTAGTTATCATGAGTATATTAGATATTATACAAGTTTATCATATAATATGCAATAGTCCCCCTACTAATGGAACTAAGACTTAGGGGCAATTCCTGGAAGAAAAAAAAAAATCCACCTCCTTCAAGTTGGTTCCTCCTTATAGCTACCCAACAGGGCAAGGTTACAGTACTGGTACCCTGCTAGTTACTCTAGCACACACCAACAGATAGCAGACAATAAATAAAATACTAAAAAGCATCTTGAAGGAGTGAATAAATGGGTACAGTTCAGATTAAAATGGCAGCATGAATTCTGAATATTGTATTAAATATTCAATTGCTTGCCACATATTTTTATTCTCTATAGGAGCTACTGTAAGATACATCTTTCAATAGCCTGCCAAGCAATTTATAGTTTCACCTTTTAACAAACCAATTGTAAGAGTTCAGGTTGGCATTTTGTTTGGTGTTTTTAACAAATGAGTTTTATCACAGCAAAGAAGTTAAACACTTAGAGGAAGAGCGTAAAGGCTAAAATGAGAGAAAGAAATATGAAGAATGTAAACTAATTAGGATGGCATTTCAAAAGGAATCCAAAAGAAATGGGAACTAAATAAAGATAAAGAATTTTTAAAAGAGATAATCAAAAGTCTATGCATTTGACTTTTTACCATCAGTTTCTATGAAACACTAAAATTGTACATTGGCTGGAAACAAAATATATTTAATATTTTTAAGTTTCTGAAGAATTTAAATTGGATTCATAAATTACTTTTCTATGGGATTTATACAGCTAAGCTTAACATAGAGACATTTTATGATAAAAGCTGTAAGATTATGAGTACTCTAGGGGGAGGACAAATTTAGGGAGGTGGGGCCGCGGCTGAAATGTTAATTCAGATTTCTCTGGAGAAGCTACAGATGTCCACTAGATGGCAGAGGTGTACACTGGCTTGCCCAAGCCAGAGCTGGTCTGCCATTGCTCAACAAAGAGCAGTCCTCTGTGATTGGCAACTAGAACCAAGTGGGTGGGCTTTGAGCGTGCAATTGAAGTGGAAACTCCAGTGGAAACCCTAAGTTACACATGTCACTCAGCCACAACAGTAGTCATTCAATTTGCTGGATAAAGACTGTTTTAGACCAAACCCATAGAGTCAATCCCAACTCAAAGCAGCCTTATACAGGGTTTCCGAAACCAAATCTTACAGGACAGCCTCATTTTCCTCCCACAGAGTGGCTAGTGAGCTTGAACATCTGACCTTGTAATTAGTAAACCAATGTCTAACCCACAGTGCCACCAGGGCCCCTTGCCAGTTGCCCTTTATTTCAGTCCTTCCATTGTCTTCATTTGGAGATGAGAATAGCTATCCGATACCATAAGGAGGCTCAGTGGATGAGTGAACCAAGCCTTGGCTGTTGACCATAAGGCTGGCAGTTCAGACGGCACCAGTTGCTCCATAGAGAAAGATGAAGCTGGCTGCTCCCTTCTGTAAATATTTACAGTCTAAGGAACCTTAAGGAGCAGCTCTACACTGTCCTTTACAGGATTCCTAAGAGTCTAAGTGGACTCAGTGACAGTAGATTGTCCTATAACGTTCCTTCACTGCACTGTGAAAGCAGATCATTATTTTCTCAGTTCCACAGGTTCGCAGATGCGGGATTTGCCTCAGGGTGGATGATATCTATTGTCTTACTCAGACCTGGTGTAGATGAATTAGAGGATTTTTTTTTCAGTTGATTCTTAGGAATTAAAGTTATTGCTGGAGTGGGTTAAGATTTTAGGGGATGTCAGGATGGGTTGGATGTATTTTGCATATGGGAAGGACATGAATTTAGGGGTCTAGAGGACAAACTATACATGACTGATGAGTGTCCCAAAAGTCCACCATCCACCTGGACCTTTTGAATAGAACTACAATCTGAAAATATCCTGTAATTAAGATGAGAATTAGAGGGGCCCTGGAGCTAATCTGACTTTAGGTTAATAGGAAAATTTGAACAGGGTGTGGGGGGCAGTGGAGCTGGAGGCTGAAAGTAGGGTGATGTGTTTTGCAAGCCAAAGAATGCCAAGATTTTCCAGCAAGCACCAGAAGAAGCTAAGAGAAGCAAAAAAGGATTTTCCCACAGAGCTGGTTTTAGGAAACAAAAGAGATTCAATATTAAATATAATTTGAAGTGACCATTAAGTCTTAAAAGGGATCAAAGGCATAGATACATCATCTGGATGAGGGAGGCCATTGTGACAAGGTCATAATGGCGCCTGGGAATTGGCAGTCTGGAAGGAGTTGAATAATTCGAGTAGGGAACAAAGCAAGGTGTCATGAGTTCATGATGGGCTACCGGTCAGTACATCACAGTGACAGTGGGACTATAGACAGGGCCTTCTTACCAAGGCAGTCAGGTTATGACGGATAAGGGATGACTCATGACCGTGTGACCCCCCTGTACTGTCCTCAGCACATGGTCTCCATCAGAGACACCCAAGCAAGCCCTTAGGAGAGACTTTGCTAGACTGGCTGGAGAAGGGTCTGGTAATTCCCTCGCCAATGCACTCTGCCTGAGGGCAAGATTATCTACATCCTGCATTAATGATCAGAAAGAATTCAAGGGAGGGACTCTGCAAATGAATGTGGGTTTTTGGGTTTTGTTTTGCTACCCACAGCCTTCTGTAAACAGCTGCTCAGAATTTAAGCTCTAAAACGAAGCATACCTTTAGTGAAGCATTGATGTGGAACTTGACAGCCTCCAGAATTATAAAAGAATACATTTGCTTTCAACTACTCAGTTTGTGATCATTTGTTACGGCAGCCCTAAAAGACGAACTACCCAAGCAAAAACAGTAAGATTCAGGATGTCCTGACAATGCGGATTCACTGAAGGGGAAACCGGTGGGATCAGCCAAGAAGTGCCGTAACCTGAACTCAAGGAGCAAAGAAGCAGAAGGAACTGCCATCGCTTTTTCAGATTTTAGATTTCTTTTTCATTCAGAGACACGGTGGTAAATCCATCAGTATTGCCATCATTCATTCATTTAACATTTAATTACTTTTGACCACTTGAAGGTCAGAAATCCTGCCCTCTTCCTAAAGCTACAGTAGTTAAAAAGAGATGGACCCTACCCTCAAAATATGAGGGTAGAGTTTGGGGAGTGCTGTACTCAGGTCCAGAGGAGCGGATGTCTTTCTGAACTAATCGACACTACCCAGAAAGAGCAACGCATTTCCTGGGTTTGAAAAATGTTAGTACTGGGTGGTAGACAAAGGGACACAGTGAGCAAAACTCCTTCAAATAGCAGCCAGGAAATAAAAAGCACTAAGCCCACTACTGTGAAGCTCACTTTAACTCATTGCAACCCTATGCAGCCGAGTAGAATTCCCTACATGGTTCTCCAGCCTGTAAATCTTTCAGGAAACACTGTGGAGCAGTTGGTGGGGTCGAAGCCCTGACCTCTGGGTTAGTAGCAGAGACTTTACACTGCACCCCCAGTGCACCTTAAAATGCCTACAAATTGGATTGTTATATTACACTCACAACACATTGTTCAAATGCTCACTAAGCCTCATGAACTAGACTGGGTATACATCTCTTTTTTTAAAATGTTGAAAAAACATTACTTTAGTGCTAAATTAGGTACTAAATTTAGGTACTAAAGCATTTGTCGTTTAAATCCCAGGTTAAAAATTTTGTTCTATACTACTTGCCATTTTACAGTTTTTGTGTCTGGTATCCCCCGTTTCCCTAGAATCACATATTTCTCTAAGAATCTCAAGAGCCAAGTTCTAATTCCTTTTTGAATTCACAGAAATTTAGACTGAATGTGAAAATTACTTCTTGGACTTAAGAATTCTATCTGTAAGGGACAGGAGCAATAAAATGTTCCTGGACTGTTCAGTAAAATGAAAAAACTGCTTTTCGGTGTTTAAAGCTGGTGCCGTTGGCATTTCTGGGAAGCCCTGAGCACTTTCACGGTATCTCAAGTGCATGGGCATCAGAAGGTGTTCTTGGTGTCAACTGAAGGCATCAGTGACAACGGCCCCTTGGAAGGCCTGCGGCTCAGCTTCACCTCACTGCCCGATTGTTCTGCTGTCCCTGTCTCTCTGGGGTAACTCCGTTTGCATTCCTGAGATACATCCCATCTGTACCATTAGGAGAAAAGCTCATAATGTGATGTCAGTGTAAACAGATGAAACTATTTTATACCACTATAATTTGAATCTGGTGCATTCATATGCGTAAATATACCACATAGTTGCCCAAATTAAAAAGGAAACATTATTAAACGATGATTACACAAAAGTAGTGAGGGGATGGGAAGTTTTTGTTACTTGGTGTGGTAGTTATATAATCCTTTGTCAATTTGAGAGGATTCCAAGTGAAAGAGTGGAGTCTAGCCTGTCGATCATGGTATAGCCAATGAGGCCTCTGTGGTCATGGCCTTCCCCTGAGGATTCTCAGCCTGTATTTCCTCCTTGGAGGCGGGAAACACTCTCCTTCACTGCTCACTCTCTGAGAGACCCTCTACTGACAAGACATGGTATTACACTGATAGACCCATGCCCTGGGAACTGAAGACCCCTGCCAGTGCTGAGATACTTGCAACACCACTGGATCCACAAGACTTTGCACCCACTGGCCTGTGATCTTCCTGCATTTGGCGTCATTGCATGTGTTTTGTGAGTCTGAATAGAACTTTATAGATTGGTAGCAGACATATGGGCTAATATTGGACTCATGGGCTGGGTTGAGATGCTTGCTTAATGTACAATTACTCTTTATAGATAAAACTCCCTCTTATACACATATGAGTGTCAGTGAATTTGTTTCTCTAGTCTACCGAGACTAACACGCTTGGGTACAGTTTTACATTTTCAAAACGTTCTACAATAAGAACATGTTACTTCCATAATTCAAACAAACAAACACAAATCTGCTGCCACCCAGTCAATT